CACACACACACACACACACACACACACACACACACACTGTGAGAAATTGTGTGTTGACTGAAACTATAAAGGATGGTGTGTGTGTGGGTTGTTTTGGTGACACACACCTGTCCTGTGTGAAGGAGACATCAGCATAGGTGACATCTGAAAGAGGAGATGAGTCACTCCTTCCTGATAAATGAAGCAGGAAACAAAAACACATTCTAGTGAATAAACTGTTCGTTTGAAGTCCTTATTATCTAAGTGACCTTATAGTACCATATCACCCTATTAGAGCACTTCAAATCCTTCCTTAGTTACACTGCAGTTATACAGGAGATCTGGGCTCCAGGTTCTGCTCAAGGTTTCATCCTGTTAATTATGATGATGATGCTAATGATGAAAATGATTATTATGATTTTTTTTTTTTTATTGGGAGGCCAGTCAGTAACACATGCCTGTAAAATATGTTGGTTGGATGAGGTTATGTTTAATTTAATGCTTTCATGCTGAGCTGACCAAGCATCAAACACAAAGAGTAGCAGCATAAACACCATATCCTGTCACAGCCACAGGGACATACTGTATAAGGTATGTAGACCACAGGATATGAAGTTTACACATGGGCTGCTTCCTGTTGACAGAGATGAGAGCTCATAAACTTTCACATTGTAAAGTATGTCAGAAGCAGATGAAACCACACAAGTCTTACTTGTTCAAACTCTAATGCAAAATATATTCTAGTGCCCAGAGTGGACATTAACACTCAGCTAAAGATTAATTAAATAATCACTTAATTCTTAAAGTACAAGAGCAAGTAAACTAAACAGTACTCTGGTCCTGCACTGGTTTAAACTCTAACAACTTAATAGAGTGAACCCTTTTATAGGCCTGGGCACTGATCATGACGGTAGAGCAGAAACAGCTGTCACATCATTATTATTATTATTATTATTATTATTATTATTATTATTATTATTATTATTATTATTATTATTATTATTATTATTATTATCACAAAGCATCTGAAGCACTGTTAAAATGGTTTCCCACTGCCTTTCAGAGGACGGTTTAGGAATGTGACACTGCTGCACTCTTGTAGACTCTCTTATATAATCCACACTGATCTGACTGCAAACTGTTAAATCTAAAAGACTTTATACCTTTTAATTTTCTATAGAGGAGCAGAGCTCCAAGCAGAACTAGAACCAGATGAATCACAGAAACCAGACCGGTTATCATGGCAACGATGGAGGAGGAGGAGGAGGAAAGAGGAGGAGATGCTGTCCCAGTACACGGACATGCAGAAGTATCGGGAGAGTTAACAGGAGAGGTGCAGGCTGTGGTGAGGATGAAGATGATTCAGTCAGTTCATTATCAGGTCAGCCGGTGAGTGCTTGTCATTAAAACAAAAGTGATGTCAGTGTTCTGACCTCTGACCCGCAGAAAGCTCTGATGAGATTCTCCAAATGTGTCAGTAGAACATGAGTAGAGACCTTCATCAGACTGCTGGACATTTGTGATGATGAGCTCCGATTTCGATTCAGACCCAACATGACTTCCATTAATGAAGAAATAAGCTCTGACTGTGCCACCATTCCTCTGTCTGCAACGCAAGGTCATGTTACTTCCTGTCCTCACAGGAAGTGCAGGAATCTCCAGGATCACATGT